TCCTGAAATATTCCCTTGTTTCCTTCAGCTGCTGATCCAAAGGGGATCCCAAATCAAGGTTAGATTTTGGGAATTTTGGTGGTTCCAAGGAATGTTTGACCTCCTGGGAATATCCACACTCAATTCCAGTGTTTTTCTTGACTTCCTAAAGAGTTTATTGGGAATTTAATGGAATTTTTCACCTCTTTTCATGGGAGTGTGGAGAAGAATTTATTTGAAATGTTACAGAAAAACTCTTTGGAATTAAATTAATAAAAGTAAATTAAAATAACATTACATAAAATTAAAGTAATATAAAATGACATCTTTTTGTTGACATCTGCACTGAGAATGGGAGATTATGGCTTTAAAAAAAAACAGACTTGTCAAAAACCAAACAATTGGGACTTTTTTTGGGGAATTTAAGCTTTGGACAGAGCAGTGGGAATTCCCATGGAGTTTGATAGCTGCTTAATTCACTGCTAAAATTAATGAGCTCTGTGCTAATTAATGCTGTTAATGAGCTGCTAATGATGATTTGGGAGTGATCCCAGGCTTTGGGTGAGCTCTGAAAACATCTGTGTCCCAAATAAAATTGATTTTTCCTCTGCTTCCATCTTTCCTGGGAAAACCCCCTCTTTGGGAAAGAATTCCTGAAAATCTGAGATGTTCTATTTGATTAAATTTATTCTTAATATAATGTAAATACAGGAATTGCTATCCTTCTGTCCCTTTTCCTGCTCTTTATTTGATGTTTTTATTAAATTCCTTGGATAAAAGGTTTTATATTTTGTTTTGTTTTGTTTTTTGTTTTCCATTAAATATTTTTCTCCATGCTTTGGAAATTCTGCTGCTTTTAAGGTTTGTCGGGGGCGGGGGGAAATAAGAGGCATAAGTTCTACGGATAAAATGAGTTTTAAACAGGAAAACTCGAGTAAAATCAGCTGATAATTGTGATTTACCTATAAAGAGGTTTTGCCAGCACCATCCTAAATTAATTTTGGGACAACATGAGCATGGAATCTCTAATTCCCAGTATTTTCTGGAGTGGGTGAAGGTAAAGCTGGAATTCCAGGTAGCTGGAACACCTCAAATTGAGAGCCTGGATCCAATTAAAATAGGCTGCAAAATGAAATTCTCACTAATTTGTGAATTCGGTGATGCCGGGGAGCTCTCCTAGAACTTCAACACCTCAAATTGAGCTGCTGGCTCCAACTCCAGCAGTCTGGAAAATGCAATTCCCTAATTCCCAATAAATATTCCCAATATTCTCAATATTCCCCCGCCTCAACGAGGGCACTCCCACAGCGCCCCTCCCTCCCTCCTTTTCCATCCATTCCTATCGGCATTCCCCTCCCTTGAGTGACTCCTTTTGCCTTTTCAACCTTTCTCAAACTCAGCATTTCTTCTTCCTGCCGAAAAAAAAAAAAAAAACCCAAACCGGGAGCGGGAAGGGGCGTGGAAAAAAGTGGGAATTTCCCACAAATGTCCCCGCCCGGAGCTGATCCCGCGCTTGTCCTTCAGAGCGCCGGGAGGGGAGAGGAGCTGAGGGGGAACGGAGCCATGAGGGGAATGTGATGGGAGTGGAGCCGTGAGGGGAAAGGAGCCGTGAGGGGAACGTGAAGGGAAGAGAAGCCGTGAGGGGAACGTGAAGGGAAGCGAAGCCGTGAGGGGAACGGAGCCGTGGGGGGAGCGGGAACGTGAGCAGAAAGGAGCCCTCAGGGGAGCGGAGCCGTGAAGGGAACGTGAGTAGAAAGGAACCGTGAAGGGAACGTGAAGGGAAGAGAAGCCGTGAGGGAAAACGGAACCGTGAGGGGAACGTGAAGGGAAGAGAAGCCGTGACGGGAACGGAGCCGTGGGGGGAGTGTGAGGGGAGCGGAGCCGTGAAGGGAACGTGAGTAGAAAGGAGCCGTGAGGGGAACGTGAAGGGAAGCGAAGCCGTGAGGGGAACGTGAGGAAAAAGGAGCCATGAGGGGAATGTGAAGGAAAACGGAGACGTGAGTAGAAAGGAGCTGTGAGGGGAGCGTGAAGGGAAACGGAGCCGTGAGGGGAACGTGAGGAGAAAGGAGCCGTGAGGGAGAACGGAACCGTGAGGGAGAACGGAACCGTGAGGGAGAACGGAGCTGTGAGGGAACCGTGAAGGGAAACGGAGCCGTGAGGGAACCGTGAGGGGAGCGGAGCTGTGAGGGGAACGGAGCCGTGAGGGAGAACGGAACGGCGGGAATGGCGTTTCCAAGGATTCCCTGGAATTTCCCCGCTGTCTGCTGGCTCCTCCTGGCCGTGGCCATTGCCGCTTCCCTGGGTTTGGAATGCCGGGAACACCAGTACCCGCTCCATGGCAAATGCTGCAGCGACTGCGCCCCCGGTGAGTGCCCGGCCTTGGGGGGAAAAGCCAGATTTTTCTTACTGGAATATCTATTTTTTAATGGAATGTCAATTTTTTTTCTTAGTGGAATATCTGTTCTTAAGTGAAATACCTATTTTTAGTGGAATATCTAACTTTTTCTTAGTGAAATGTCTTTTTTTCTTAGTGTAATATCTATTTTTAGTGTAAATCTATTTTTAGGTGTAATATCTATTTTTAACGTAATACTTACTTTAGTGTAAATCTGGTTTTAGTACGTCTACTTTTTCTTAGTGTAACACCTACCTTAAAGTGTAACATCTAATTTTTTCTGCGTGTAGCATCTATTTTTAGTGTAATACGTATTTTTTAGTGTAATATCTACGTTTTAGACTGATAAAAATCACTTTCAGATCAGAAAAAAATGGAAAAAATCTTCCTTTTGAGAGTGGTTTTTAACTTTTTTTTTTTTTAATGTGTTTTTGCTTCCTAAATGCCTCAGTCAGGGGAATTTCCTAAACCCTTTTCTCTGTCTCTAGAAAAACCAGGAACTGCCAAAATCTGGGTATTTGATCCCAAAGGATGAAATTTAGGATTTTGCATTAGTAACAAAGGGTGAAATTTCGGATTTTTCATTGATCTCAAAGGACGAGATTTAGGATTTTTCCCCAGCCCATCCTGAGTTGATCTCAAAGGATGAGATTTGGGATGTTTCATTGACCCCACGGGATGAAATTCAGGATTTTTCATTGACCCAATGGGATGAAGTTTAGGGTTTTTCATTGACCCATGGGATGAAGCTCAGGATTTTTCATGGACCCATGGAATGAAGTTCAGGGTTTTTCACTGACCCCACAGGATGTAGTTCAGGATGTCCCACAGATCTCACAGGATGAAGTTTAGGGTTTTTCATTGACCCCATGGGATGAAGTTCAGGATTTTTCATTGATCCATGGGATGTAGTCCAGGATGTCCCACGGATCCCATGGGATGTAATTCAGGATTTTTCATTGACCCCATGGGATGAAGCTCAGGATTTTTC